GGGACATTTGCATCTCATTTGCAGTTGTTCTTTTTGGGAGAAACTGCTTTAAAGAAGTCATCCTCAGTAGGAAAGACCACTACTTCAGAATGACTTTTCCAGAAATGCTTCAAGAAGCCTCAAAAACATGCTTTTGTCTCTATCATGACATCCTGGTTGTCCAAAGGTTAGACATAAATGGGTATATTCATATTATGGAATATTTGCATTGATATTGGGGTTTTATTTAGTAAAATATGGTGGGGACCCAGAAAAGTAGATGATTTGGAACACAGGCCTGAAATTTCCCAGGCAAGGGTTTTCTTATAAAATTGAAAATGAGCATAATTTCAGGTTACCATATAATTTTTTTGGGGGGAGGGGCTTATAGGGCCACTTTTGGTGCATATTCCTGAATTAATCCCAGTCCAAAGTTTCAATGACAACCATTTTTTTTGCATAGATAAGGAATGAGACGTAGGAAGCATTCCCATTCTCAATGTCACTATTGAGAGTTGTCTCATCCTAAAAGCCTGTGTGATAGACTTTCAAGTGGGGGTGAAACCAAGGATGGTCAGCATCTGTATTGATGTCCTGATAATTTGACTGATTGACATGTTAAATACAATTATGTATTTATTCATGGATTGTCCATTTATTTAGTCACTTACTTATTTAATAATTCCAACCAACACATAAATGGGTTCAATGGTTATGCCAAAAAATTAACAATAAGTTAAATTTTGACAACTGCCTTCCTCCTTTCTACCTAGACATTATTCCCCCAAAGATCCTCATTTTATCCTGCTGAACTTGATGCAAATTTCAGTCAGATGTCAAGCACTTGAAATGCCAATCATATCTACCTTGGTACTCTAATTTCCGGAACCAAGTGAGGTAAGCATATTTACATTGAGTGTATGGAGAAATACAGTGTTTTTTAAATTGGGTCAATGATGAGAAACTATAACTTGAAGAGAGATGATGACTAAAAAATCAAACTCTTGCAGGATTTATCTGAGGCCCATTCTAGGTGATGACATTTTACTAGGATGTTGGGACCTTTATTTCTCTTTGGAGCAATGGTTCAGGGGTGCGAACTTCCTCATGCCTAGGGTATGTTTGTAGGTTAGACTTGTCTTCCTTAATCAAATGTCCTCATCAGAGGCTGTGATCTTTTAGCTCTTTTACTCTCATTGTGTCTTTCAGTGAAATATCCTGGTGAGGGTTTTGCTATGACCATAATCATATGAGGTGAGTAAATATTTATTATCATTGAAAGACACCACAGAGAACATCAGTGTCAGAGGCAGGTTAAGCTTATACAAGTAACTTCATAGTTGTCAGGGGTCTAAATACCCACTTGTGTCAATGTCTCCATGTCAACCTTGTCCATTGAGTCCACAGACAGTGACATTTTCATGAAGTAGGTCTGACTGTAAAAGGCTGTAATTTTCCTTTGTTAGTTTTATTCAGTCCTTTTTGAAGTACTGATGAAAAGAAGCACTTATAAATGGAATTATTTATCAATTTCTTTTACTTCTTGTTCATTGTCTGGATGCTAAAAAGTTTTGGATTTTATTTAGTATGCTGATTTTGGAGCCTGCCACTTTTCTGTGTTCATTTATGGTTTCTAATAGCATTTTGATGGAGCATTTAGGAACCATCATATTTATTGTTATTATTATATAATATCATATTATACAAGATGCCAGGTTCCCTTTATTTCCTATAGTTGTCTGAATGCTCTGGAAAAAGCCCTATCCCAAAGTTAAATAGAAGAGTGGCAGTTGGTATCCTTGCCTTGTGTCAGATCTTATAGGAAAAACTTTAAGTTTTTCACCTGGGTAAGTCTTGGTAGATTATGTTGATCTAGAGATTTATCCATCCTTTTATGGTCATCTCATCTCAAAGAACATTTAATATTCTTACTTTTACAATTTTCATTCTTCTACTAGCCTCGAGGTCATACTTCTTTTTCAAGTTGCTTTAGGTGTGATGTTAATTATTTATTTGGGATTTCCTTACTTTATTATGGGCCATTATTGCAATTATTTCCCCCTTAACACCACTTTTGCCGCATAGATTCTGATAAGTTGTATCATCATATTCATTTGTCTCAGAGTATTTTTAATTTCTGCTTTGATTTCCTGTTATCAAGTTGCTATTAAACAGCATGTTGTTCAACCTCCCTGTATTCATAGTTTTCCCTATTTTTCCTTGTAGTTGACTTTCCCATTTCAATAATTTTATACTTATAATGTGACCTACTGATAGCTTGATCAGTGTTTCCTCACTGATGATTAATTGATCTGACAAATGCATTTCTAATCTCTACATCATTTTTGTATGATCATACAAAAATGATTAAATGACTCATTTAATTAGAATTAATTTAATTAGATTCATTTAATTAGTTAAAAAATTATTGATTATTTTAAAAAGTCTATTAATGCATAAAGAGCTTTAGTCTTGAAGCACAATTTTCAGGGCAAAAGGCAGGATTTTTTAGCAACTATACACAATCTCTTCATAGATACTGTTGACCTGAAGATCTCAATTTGCCTACTGACCCTTGATCAAACTGAAATAGTCGAGTGGCAAACACTTAGAAGAAATGCTGTCCTAGTATCCTCATCTCTAGAACTTGGTTTATTTAAGGTAAGCTTATTTAAGGGCAAGAGTATTAAGATGTGCAGGGTGCTGTTGTTGGGTCAATGATGAGAAAACAATGGACTTGAGAGATCATGACAAAAAGTGAAACATGCATGACTCATCTGAAGACCAACCTAGCTGATGATCCTGAGCAGTTTGTTTGGGGTATTTATTTGCCATTTAATGTTAGAGGCAACCATTGCTTGAGCAAATCTTCTGTGACTCTACCCTGACTATGGGCAATCAAACTATACCCAGTCAAACTATTCCCAGGATTTAGGCTTGTCTTACAGATCTGTAGGTCCTCACAGCAGGCCACAATTGGAGCCATAACATACCTCTCTTACCCCTCTTGTGTGTCTGTCTTTCAGTGAAATATTCTTTACAAGGCTTTTCTGTGGTCCAACTCATCTCAGGTGAGTGAATATTTATCATCATAGACATCACACACAGCACTGGGCATGGGCAGAGTCCAATTCTAAAACTTAGTACTTAACACCACTTGATATCCAAAGCACCCACATGGGTTTGATTTCTCTAAGAGTGTTCATCCTGAGAGCAAGGAACTAAGGTTTGATGTCTCCAAGAGTGTTCATCCTAAGAGCAAGGAACTATATATAATGAAAGTGTATCCTTAAGACTACAGTGGAGTAGATTATAAAAGTAGGCAACCTCTGATAGTCTGGCCCCTGGTGAGCACTGAGGTCTGATGATAGACAAACTGAAGTCATTAACTCCAATATGTTTGATGGATGAGAATTGCTAGGATATGCTTTGGTGTCTCAGAATCAGTTTTGTTAGGAAACATACAGGGAGGGTACAGAGGGTGATACACAGAACAAATATATTTCGTGGGTCTCTTGTAATATTCGGTTGAATTCAGTCAAAGCCCACCACTGGCGATTGGTAAAATTTTGCCATATCAGTTAATGAATCATGGACTCCTAAGGATTCCAGTTGTTTCTGAGTTTTTTGATCTTTGTATAGTTGCCCCGCATTGGTCCACTTGCTTGCCAGTGACAGTCTGTTTCACCCTTTGAAGTTTTATTTAAAAAAAAAATATATATATATATACATATATCTTCATTTATTTACATGTTTCTATATTCATATGTCAGTTAATTTATTTTTAACGTATTCATTCACTCTTTTACTCCTAAAATATACTGCTTTTTAACTGTTTCTGGAATTGTGAGGGAATTACATGATTAAGTCACAACTCTAGAGGATGTTGAATTTTTTCAAAACAGCTGTCCATCTTCACTCTTCCTAGACTCACCATGAAGTGACTGTACTCATGCTGATCTTGATGCAAACATGGCTAGACAAATTTCCAGCCTGTAAGATGAAGAAAGTAGAAACTTATGTCCATCTGATGTACGCAGAATCCAGTCCTGGTAAGCATATTTAAGTGCAAGATTATGTATACCTGCAGAATGCTATCCTTGGGTCAATGATGAGAACTCTTACATCTTAAGAGAGATGGTGACAAAAATCTGTCATGGGTGGTGTCATCTGAGGCCCAATAGATTACTCTCTTGGAGAAGGATCTTGGAGACCTATACTTCTGTGTTGAAAATAAATTTTATTTTAGACAACTGCTTGAAATAATCCTAAATTGTTCTTCCTATGGATGGGCTTTGCCATAGGAGAGAAGTGCTCATAGTTTAGGCTGTGTTTTTAATCATATGTCACTATTAGAGGCCTCTGTGGGTGGATTCATCTGCTCTGTGCCTTGGCTTATGTCTTTCAGTGAGATGTTCCTGGAAGCTTGTACCATGTCCTTAGTCATCTGAGGTGAGTGCATGTCTGTCCCCTTCCACACATCTCAGAACCCCTGGCTTCTTGGGGAGATCGTTTTATTTTTGTAAATAAAAGTTATTTTAGTGAACATAATTTTTTTAAAAAGAGAAGGAAAATTCAAAGGTCAACTGAAGATGCAAATATCCTTAAAAAAAACTAGCAAAATATTTAGCAGTAGACAATTCACTATAGCAAATTACAATTTATTTTTAAAACTTTTGGGAGAGTTGGTACCCCACTTGGGGTGATTTCTCATGAGTATCAGGTCAGTGGGATTCAAACTAAAAGTAATCAAACTTTTGAACCTTATGTGGAGATCATTCTGTAAGAAAAGTTCATTTTTATCACTCTGGTCCTGCATCATTATTCATATTTGTTGTTAGAAGTGTTATCATCAGTATCTCCTATATATTTAAGATTTGGCAACTACTGGTTTCCTTATTTGTGTCTGCAGGACATTTCTCATGGCAAGATTCATGCCTCTGATATCTAGGGTTTAGACTCAAAGATGAATCCATCATGGGGTTAATAAGCACCCTCTTGAATTTTTAGAGTCACTGTCACCCTGATGTATCTACGTTCCTCCTGATCTGGTGAAATGTTGCTAGACAATCTTCCAGATTGGAAGACAAGAACTAAATTTTGCCTGGTGGTCCAGCCTGCAGAATCAGCTGTGGTAAGCATAACTAGGTGCAAGGATTATAGATACCTGCATAGTGCTATGCTTGGGTCAATGATGAGAACTCAATGTCTTAAGAGAGATGGTGACAAAAATCTGTCATGGGTGGTGTCATCTGAGGCCCAATAGGTTACTCTCTTAAAGAATGTTGGAGACCTGTACTTTTTTCTATTGAAAAGTGATTTTGTTTGAACGAACAATTACTTGATGGAATCCTGAGCAGGTCTTCCTGTGTATGGGTTTCATCATAGGAAAGATGTGCTCATAGTTTAAGCTTGTGTTTATAATTATATGTCATTGTCATCACTAGTGGCCTCAATGGACGGATTCATTTGCTCTGTTTCTCTCCTTGTGTCTTTTAGTGAGATGTTCCATGGGGGTTTGCACCTCATCCTAATCATCTGAGGTGAGTGCATGTCTGTCCTCTTCCACATGTCTCAGAGCACATGGCTCGTGGCAGAGACCATTTTTTGTTTTGTAATGTGGTTTACTTAAATGATAGAATTAAAAAAAAAGAGAGAAAGGAATTTTACATTTCAATCTAAAGATGTAAATATCCTGAACAAAACATAAGAAAAGTATTTAACAAGAGACAAGGACTTCATTATTAAAAAGTTGAATTTATTCTGGGAATGCTGTGTTAGGTCAATATCTACAGATGTTATTTACCACAGGAAAAACTGTGTTTCATCTTAAAGGAAACAGAAAAGTTTAGGAGAATTCAATGTATTTATTTTTCAATGGAATATTATTTATTTATTTATTTATTGAGGTAATGTGTGGTACCCCCATCAGGTATTACTAGCACAGCCTACTCACCTACTATGGCTGAGATTTTTTTTTAAGATTCAAAAATATATATATTTTTGAATACAAGAATTGGGGTATAGGCCAGAGCTACAGCTGGTAAAAGCTACAGAGACAATGGGAAAGAGAACAGGCCAATCTATTGAAATACACCGCTGAGGGGAACAGCAGGCTAGACAGAAGAGGTCTGCTGTGCAATGTGGGTCACCTCCCTGCTCAGGGATTGAACTTGTGCCACAGTGGCTGGCAATAGCTTGATAGTGCTGAGACTTTAACCCCTGTGCTACCACAGGGGCTCTAGATGAGATTATTTTTAAGGTTAAGTTGTTTTTAGAACTGTGGGAGCCTAGGCAACACAAGGGAGTCATCTATGTGGGATTGTCATTATACTCTATGTGGAGATTTTACTGTAGGAAGAGGTCATTGTTATTCTTCTGTTCCTGCATCAACATTCATAATAGACTACAAAAGTGCTCAGTAGCTCTTACATACTTACAACATGATAACTACAGGCTTCTACATTGGTGCTTGTGAAATATTCCCCATAGGAGATTCATGCCCCTAGTATCTAAAAGGTAGACTCAGAAAAGAATCTATCCATGGCTTAATGGAGAAACCTTATGAATTTTACTCCCTCTGAATGGCAGGGTCTTTGAATGGATTGGGCTGCAATATGGCAATTTAATGACTTCTTTGCTCTTGGTTATGTTATTTATTTGTGACAGACCTTTGATCTTATATGTCACCAAGCTGACAAGTAGCCATCTAATTTCAGTAATTTACAAGAGGGTATATGTCCTTTGATAACTGCATACACCTCAGGAAAGAATGCATTTAGAGAACTACTTAGAGTTGATTTGGAGAAGCAGAAGCCTGATGGCGGATATTTGCATTGCTGATTGAGGTCTGTCTGTAGAGAGTTAAGGCCAATTATCTGTAAGTTTGAGGAAGAGAATTGCTGGGAAAAGTTTTGGCATCTCAGAATCAGTTTCATTAGGAAAGGTTCATGTCCACAGTGTGCAGTGTGTGAGAAAGGAACATCTGTTCCATGAGTGTCTCTGAATAATACACTGATTTTATTCATCAAAATATCTGAAGGCCACCCCTGGGGCTTGGTAAGGCCTCCCAATGTCAATACATGACCGCTGGGCTCCTGGTGATGCCAGTTGACCCTAAATAGCACAAGTTGTGTAGTTGCCCAAATCAATGAACTTGCAGGTCACTGACAGTTCATCACCTCAAGGACGGGCTGCCTTAACCATGCACCCTCCTCGTGATACATGCTAGCAGTGGTGTTGAGAAACTTGGAGCCATAGTCTGTCTGTTGAGTGAGATCATTTGATTGCAACTGAATTATGACTTAGTCAAAGCATCTTTGTCCATGTATCTCTTATAAGCCAACAGTTGTGTTAATTCCTTAACTTGGTTTCTCTTATTGATGCTTTATTGAGTGTCTATATGTATCTTCCTGCATTAATATGTGACTATGTCCGTTTATGTGTTTGCTTACTTGTTGATATTTTCATTTATGTTAATTGATTCATTTGTTTAATATGATACTTATTTTTCAAATAGGAACTGCATGCTTAAGTCATAGTCCTAAAAAGATTGTTTTCTTGACAGCTGTCCATGTGTCCTGTTAGAGTCACTGTCACCCTGATGTACCTATGTTCCTCTCGATCTGGTACAAATGTTGCTAGATAATCTTCAAGCCTGGAAGATGAGAAACTCATTTTCACCTGGTGTTCCAAGCTGCGGACTCCAGCTCTGGTAAGCACATTTATGTGAGAAGTTATGAGTATGTGCAGAATGCTATCCTTGGGTCAATGATGAGAACTCTTATGTCTTAAGAGAGATGGTGACAAAAATCTGTCATGGGTGGTGTCATCTGAGGCCCAATAGGTTACTGTCTTGGAGAAGAAGGGATTTGCCAAATAAACAATTGCTTGGTGGAATCCTGAGTGGCTCTTCCTGTGGAAGGATTTCACCACAGGAAAGATGTGATTGTAGTTCTGTCTTCTGTTTATAATCATAAGTCACATTACAGGCCTCAGTTGAATAGATTCATTTGCTTTGTCTCTCTTGTATCTTTCAGTGGGATGATCCTTGGGGGTTTGCACCATGTTCTTAGTAGTCTGAGGTGAGTACATGTCTGTCCTCTTACAAATGTCTCAAAGCACATAGCCTCTTGGAAAGACCATTACTTTTTTTTTAGAAATGCAGTTTACTTAAATGAACAGAATTTTAAAAAAAGAAAAGCATTTCGGTGTCATTCACTTTTTTTAAAAAAAGATTCATTTATTTGTGCATACAGAACTGGGGTACAGGCCAGAGGTGCAGGGGTGGTGAGAGGATTCACCAGAGACAGAATGGGGAGCAGAACAGACCAACTGATGAAGTACACTGCTGAGGGGAGTAGCAGGCAGACCAGGAGAGGGCTGCCACCCATGTGGATCACCTCTGGGCAGGCGGATCTAACTCATACTGCAGTGACTTTAGCTTCTTAGTGCTGTGCTTTAACTTGCTGCAAGGGCCTCCTGTGTCATTCTAAAGATGCAAATATCCTTAACACAACATGCGTGATATGTTTAACAGTAGATAAAAAATTCATTATAACAAAGTTAAATTTGCTTTAAAAATGTCAAGCGAGGCCCTCCCTGGTGGCTCAGTGGGTTAAAGTGCAGTACTAAGATGCTAAAGCCACTTCAGCAAGAGCTAGATCTCCACGCCAGTGGTTGACCACATGGTGTGGCAGACCTCTCCTGACCCACCTGCTGCTCCCCTGAACAGTGTGCTTCATCGATCTGCCTGTTCTGCTCTCTACTCTGTCTCTGGTGAAGCCTTTCACTGTCCCTGCACCTCTGGCCTGTACCCCAGTTCTGTATGCATAAATAAATAAATCTTTAAAAAAAAAGTCAAGCTACTTCGAACATTTATGGTGTTTTTTTTGTTTTGTTTTTTTGTTTTGTTTTTTACTGCAGAAAAAAAAAACATGTTTTAATCTCAGAGGAAACAGAAAAAATTCAAAGACTTCAATAGTGTTTATCTCCAGTGGAATATTATTCTGCTTTACTTTTTATTTTTTTTTTCAACTGAGATAACACTTGTTACCCCCTGTCGGAGACCAGCTCCAACTTTTGAGGTGTCTGGAGGCAACACAGGCAGGACCCTAAGATGGGAAGGCGTCTGTGTGCAGAGATTCCAAAAGGGGGAGAGGGAGTGAGGAAGACATGGAAGTCGGAGTTGGGTGCAAATCTTCCTGTTCATCTTTTTGTAGGTCTTTATTTATACTGTTTAGCAAGATTTAGTTACAATAATGCCTCAGGTAAGTTAATAAGAAATCAACATAAAAGTTTTAAAGGAAGAGGAGAACAATGCATCCTCTTCCTGCTACTTTATGGCACACTAGACTATATATCTTTGCGATAACTTTCATGTATACGGATGTTTGACTGTGACTTTAAAGGATCAGGGTCTGGGAAAGGATGAGCTGTTAGTAAAGGATTTAGGAGTCCTATGGAAGGAATAAATTGTGTTAGCATAGTTGTCAGTGATAGCCTAAAGAGAAGCTAATAGCTAACTTAAGGCTAGCAGAGAGTAGCTAGTGTTTGTTTAGGAAGAGGTTAAATAAGATTAGCAGAGAGTAGTTAGTGATTGTTTTAGGAAAAGAGTAAATTAAGAAGAAGTCACATAGTTGTGCATAAGCAAAACCTGTGTTGATAATGTTAGGAAATTGTCCATGGGTCCTTATGCCCTGAGAGTTATCTTAAGAATCGCTTTTTGTCAAAAAGACCAAAGAAGTTTTCCAGGAGTCTTGATGCTCTGGGGTCTTATCTCTCCAGGAGCTTGCCTTTTGTCTTCAGTCAAAGGAATTTCCTACCCAGGAGCAGCTCAGCTTGTACTTTGCCCAGGCCAGGTAGCCAATTTAGAGCTAAGGCAAGCCAGTTACAAACTGATGTTGCTACAATATTTTTTGATATTATGATTATACAAAAAAGGGAGGTCATCACATAAGTTAGCAGTGGAAATTCTGATATTTCAGAGCTTTTCCCGAGCTATCCGGAATCTGTCAGACGATAGCCATTGCATACCTTGTGTCAACCCCCATCAGGTATTACTACCATAGTGTACTCACCACTAAGTATGGGTGAGATTATTTTTTACACTAAGCACTTTCTGGAACTTGGTAGCTTGGTTCCACTTTGGGTCATTTCTCATGGGAGTCACCTGTGTGGGATGAAACTGAGGAACCAGCTGTAGTCACATTATATATGGGGTGAATCATACTGTAAGTAGAGATCATTGCTATTGCTGTTGTCCTGTCTACAGCATTCATATTTGACTCTCGAAGTATTATAATCAGTATCTCCTCCAAGCTTAAGACATAACTACTGTCTTCTACCTTGGTGTCTGCAAAATAATTCCCATGCTGAGATCAGGAGGATAGAGTAGGCAATGAATCCATCCATGAGGTTAATGAGGACCTTTGGAATTTGTAGCTTTCTGAATGGCAGGATCTTTGGATGGTTATGTTTGTGTGTGTGTTCTGTGACTGACCTTTGATCTAGTACTTCACCAAGTGGGGCAATAGAAATGCAATTTCAGTACTTTAAAATGGGGGTACTAGTCCCTAGAAGATTGTGTAATCCTCAAGAAGTCTAAATTTGAAGGAACTACTTACAATTTACACTAAGAACCCCCTGGGACAAGATCATATAACATTTTTTCCCAACGTACAGGAATGAGAACTTACATTCAGTGGTGCATAGCTGCATTGATAATTGATAGGTTTTGGAACTTGTAAGGGACACTGAACATAATAGGTAATTTTGGGAAATATTGTCCATGCAAGACCACAGGTGTGTTAATTCCTCAATTCTGTTTCTCTTATTGATGTTTTATTTAAGTGTATATATGTATTTTCATTCATTCATATATGAATATGTTTACTTATATGTTTGTTCACTTATTTATTTTTCATTTGTTAGTTCATTATTTTACTTACTATGATATTTATTTTTCAAATGAATATGAAAGTGTGAAGGAACTGCTTGCTTAAGAGAGTTCTAAAAGGGATTGAGTATTTTCTGAACAGCTGTTCATCTGTCCTGTTTAGAGTCACTGGCTCCCTGATGTACCTATGTTCCTCTTGACCTGGTGCAAACATTACTAGACGAACTTCCAGTGGAAGATCCAGAAATTCATTTCTACATGGTGGTCCATTCTGCAGACTCCAACTGTGGTAAGCAAATTTAAGTGCAAAATTACGGGTACTTGCAAAGTGCTTTACTTGGGTCAATGATGAGAACTCTTATGTCTTAAGAGAGATGGTGACAAAAATCTGTCATGGGTGGTGTCATCTGAGGCCCAGTAGGGTACAGTCTTGGAGAAGAGTGTTGGAAATTTGAATTTTTCTGCTGTAAAGGATTTTGTTTGAATGAACAACTACTTGAAGGAATCCTAAATAGCTTTTACTGTGGAAGGATTTCACCACAGGAAAGATATGCTCATAGTTTAGGCTTGTGATTTTTATCATATGTTACCATTAGAGGCTCTGTGGGTGGACTCACTCGCTCTGTTTCTCTCCTTGTTTTTTCAGTGAGATGTCTATGGGGGTTTGCACTGCCTCCTAATCAACTGAGGTGAGTGAGTTCTGTCTTCTTCCACAAATCTCAGAGCATATGGACTTTGGAAGAGAAAGTTATATTAACGAACATATTTTTTTTTTTAAAGAGAAGGGAAATTCACTCATCGATCTAAAGATGCAAATATCCTAAACAAACAGGAGCAAAATGTTCACCAGTAGAAAAATAACTCATTATAATAATGTTGACTTTATTCTGTTCATTCAAAACATCTACTGAATGTATTTACCATAGAGAAAAACTATGTTTTAATTTCAGAGGCTACAGTAAACACTGGAAGATTTCAATATATTTTATTTATTTTCCAATGGTATATCATTGTTCTTCATATTTTTTTTAAATTTTTTTAAAGATTTATTTATTTGTGCATACAGAACTGGGGTACAGGCCAGAGGCTCAGGGGCGGCGAGAGGCCTCACCAGAGACAGAGTGGGGAACAGAACAGGCAGATCAACGAAGTACACTGCTGAGGGGAGCAGCGGGTGGGCCAGGAGAGGTCTGCCACGCCATGTGGTCAACTCCGGGGCAGGTGGGAATTGAACCCATGCAGAAGTGGCTTTAGATTCTCAGTGCTGTGCTTTAACCCGCTGCGCCACCGGGGAGGGCCTATTTTTTTTTAACTGAAGTAATATTGGGGTGCCCCATCAGTCATTACCACCAAAGAGTACCTGCCACAAATGCTGGGTGACACCATTTTTAAGATAATAAGTTGTTTTTAGAACTATGAGAGCCTACGTTCTACTTGGGATGATTTCTCATGGGAGTGACATGGGATTGATACTATGAGTAGCCAAATTTTATGCATTATGTGGTGATCATATTTTAATTGGTGGTCATTATCATCATTCTGGTCGTGCATTAACACTCACATTTAACTACAAAACTGCTATGGTTAGTAACTCCCACATACGTAAAAGATGATAACCAGTGTTTTCCACATTGGTGTCTGTGAAATAATTTCCATAGTGAGACTCATGTCCCTAATATCTAGTGGGCATGAGATAGCTGAGAAATTAATTTAACCATGAGGTTAATGAGAACCCTCTTGAGTTCTTATAGTCAGAATGGCAGGGTCTGTGGGTGTGTTGGGCTACAACATGGCAATTGAATGACTTTGTTGCTTTTGGTTATGTTATTTATTTGTGACTGATCTTTGATATAGTATTTTGTGAAGCAGTGAGTAGTCATACAATTTCAGTACCTAACAATACATGTCCCAGAATATAGCATCTTCCTCAGTAAAGACTATATTTGTAATAACTACTTAGAATTTGTGCTGAGACTCCTCTGGGACAAGAAAATATGATATCACCTTTGCCTAAAATATAAGGGTGAGTGAGAACATACATCCTGATGGTGGATATTTACATTGGGAGGTGTTGGAATTTGTGAGGGACACTGAAAAGATAGGTAACTTTGGGAGACATGATATTATTTTCCATGCAAGGTTTTGTCTATATGACTGTAAGTGGACACCACTTGATGTTTTTCTAATACCAGATTTGCAAAGAAATAAATACCATGGATATTTGGAGTACTCGTGCTCATTAGACCTCAGCTAGTATGTCTTACCCATTATGTGTCTAGACAAGAAATGAGACTTCAGAGTCACTAGCAACATCATTTCTATTTCCTGACACAATATGAGAGGAGAGGGTTCTGACTGTGGAGGCCTTCTGCTAGAACTTCCCCTAGGAGGGATATCAAGAGAAGTTGGCCATCTCAGGGGATCCATGATGATTACTGATATGAACAGTATATGTTGTGGTTCATCAGCATCAGTATCTTCAGATTTTAGGCACTTATCCACAACACTTAATTATTGCTTACATAATTACTAATTTATTGATTATGCAATTGAAGACTAAAAATGCTGTATAAGACACAGTATACGGGTGATGGATAATTTTTTTGACAACTACCTCTCTCATCTCTACAAAGGAACTGTGGCCTTGAGAATCTCCTTTTGTCCTGCTGATCCTGGTACAAACTGACAGTAAAGTATCCAGCACATGGGCAACACATACTCATACTTTCTTTGGTATCTTCATTTCCAGAATGCAGTTGAGGTAAGTAAAGTAGAGACAAGAATACTGAGGTGTTCAGAGTGCTTAGTTGGGCCAATGATGAGAAAACATGGCTGAGGAGATGATGGCCAAACATCAAACTCTTGCAGGACTCATCTGAGGCCCCATCTAGGTGAAGATCCTGGATTCTGTGTTTCGTACCCCTGTTTGCCACCTTGACTAGAGGGACTATGGATGGAGGTATACAAAGGCTTGAGCACACAGTGTGATTCCACACATACTGTGGGGTGTCACTCCCATTGTATACTCAGGAATTAGGCAAGTTGTCTGAATCTTTTTATTGTCAAACCATTCTTAAATGACAGCATTCTTTATCTTTTACCCTTTTTTTGTGTTCCTCTGTCTTTCAGTGAGATGTTCTTTAGAAGACTTTTATGTGGCCATAATCACCCCAGGTAAGTGTACGTCTGCTATCAAAAATAAACAAAATAGACACTTTTGGACACAGGGAGAATCCAGTTAGTTCAATAAGTATATTCCATATCACTTGGAATCTGAAATACACATGGGATTGTGATTTCTCTGTCTAGTTTGGAGCTAGGGTCAGGGAGGTGTATACTTAATGCTGAAGTGGAGCAGTCTGGGAATGTAGGCCATTTCCCCTGCTGTGTCCCTGATGTGAACATTGAGGTCTGTCTGTAGAAAGTTAAGGCCAATTATCTGTAAGTTTGAGGAAGAGAATTGCTGGGAAAAGTTTTGGCATCTCAGAATCAGTTTCATTAGGAAAGGTTCATGTCCACAGTGTGCAGAGTGTGAGAAAGGAACATCTGTTCCATGAGTGTCTCTGAATAATACACTGATTATTTTATTCATCAAAATATCTGAAGGCCACCCCTGGGGCTTGGTAAGGCCTCCCAATGTCAATACATGACCGCTGGGCTCCTGGTGATGCCAGTTGACCCTAAATAGCACAAGTTGTGTAGTTGCCCAAATCAATGAACTTGCAGGTCACTGACAGTTCATCGCCTTAAGGACGGGCTGCCTTAACCATGCACCCTCCTCGTGATACCTGCTAGCAGTGGTGTTGAGAAACTTGGAGCCATAATCTGTCTGTCGAGTGAGATCATTTGATCACAACTGAATTATGACTTAGTCAAAGCATCTTTGTCCATGTATCTCTTATAAGCCAACAATTGTGTTAATTCCTTAACTTGGTTTCTCTTATTGATGCTTTATTGAGTGTCTATATGTATCTTCCTGCATTTATAAGTGACTGTCTCCATTTATGTGTTTGTTTACTTGTTGATATTTTCATTTGTTAATTGATTCATTTGTTTAATATGATACTTATTTTTCAAATAGGAATTGCATGCTTAGTCCCTAAAAAGATTGAGTGTTTTCTTGACAACTGTCCATGTGTCCTATTTAGAGTCACTGTCACCCCAATGTACCTGTGTTCCTCCTGATCTGGTACAAATGTCGCTAGATAATCTTCAAGCCTGGAAGATGAGAAACTCATTTTCACCTGGTGTTCCAAGCTGCGGACTCCAGCTGTGGTAAGCACATTTATGTGAGAAGTTATGAGTATGTGCAGAATGGGTCAATGATGAGAACTCTTATGTCTTAAGAGAGATGGTGACAAAAATCTGTCATGGGTGGTGTCATCTGAGGCCCAATAGGTTACTGTCTTAGAGAAAAATGTTAGAGATCTATACTATTTTTTGTTCAAATGGGATTTTGTTGAAACAAACAATTGCTTGAAAGAATCATAAGTGGTTCTTCCTGTTGATGGGTTTCACCACAGGAAAGAATTGCTTATAGTTTAACTCATGTTTATGATCATATTTTACCAGTGAGGCCTCAGTTGAATAGATTCATTTGCCCTATGTCTCTCCTTTTGTCTTTCAGTGAGATATTCTGTGGAGGTTTTCACTATGTTCTTAATCATATGAGGTGAGTACATATTTGTCCTCTTCCACACTTCTCAGAGCATATGGACTTTGGGAGAGACTTACTTTTTTGTAAATAAAATTACATTTCAAACATAATTTTATAAAAGAGAAAGGAAATTCAACATCAATCTACAGATGCAAATATCCTAAACAAACAGGAGCAAAGTGTTCACCAATAGAAAAAGAACTCATTTTAATAATGTTGAATTTATTCTGGGAATGCCATGTTCATTCAGAACATCTACTGAATGTGTTTACCACAGAAAAAGACTATGTTTAATTTTATAGGCTACAGAAAACAATATAGTTTGTTTTTTATTTTTCAATGATTTATCATTATACTTTATTTTTTATTTTTAACTGAGGTAATATTGGATTGCCCAATCAAATATTACCATCAAAGAATATCCAGTAACAACTATGCATGAGACCATTTTTAAGCTAGTAAGTATATAGATTTTTGTAGTTTGGGTACCAGTTTGGGTGATTTCTCTTAAGAGTCATTTTAAAAGGATTGATACTATAAGTAGCCAAACTTTATATATTATGTGGTGATCATATTGTAAGACAAGGTCATTTTTATTGCTATGGTCCTGCATATAACATTCATATATGGTCAGTAGCTCATACATACTTAAGACATGATAACTACTGGCTTCCACATTTGTGTCTGCAAAACAATTTCCATAGTGAGACTCAGACTATAATATCTAGAGGTTAGACTCATAAATTAATCCATCCATGGAATAGTGAGGACCCACATGAATATTTAGCTCTCAGAATGGCAGGGTCTTTGGATAGACTGGGCTTCAACATGTCAATTTAATGACTCCTTTGCTCTTGGTTATGTTGTTTATTTTTTACTGATCTTTCAACTAGTATTCACCAATCAGAGAGTGGTCATGCAATTTCAATATTTCATAACAGGATACATGTCCTAGAAAATTGCATCCTCCTCAGAAAAGAATACATTTGGAAGAATTACATAGAACTGGTACTGAGAAACCTCTGGAACAAACTGTTATGATAACACATTTACCCAAAATATAAGAGAACTAATCTCCTGATGGTGGATATTTCATTGCTCATTGGGAGGTGCTGGGATTTGTGAGGGACTAAAAAGGTAGGTAATGTTGGGGAACATGATAAAATTGTCAGTGCAAGGTTTTGTCTCCATGTGTATGAGCACAATTTGATGTTTCCTGATACCAGTTTTAAAAAGAATCAATTCCATGGATATTTAGGTGTGCTTAGGTTTTTCAACCTCAGCTAGTATTTCAAGTCTATTCCTTGTATATAAATACAAAAAATGAGACTTCAGAATCCAAGAGGAGATATTTCTTACTGTAGAAGCCTACTTCTAGAATTTCCATTAAGAGGGAAATCAAGAGAGGTTGGCATTCCTAACTGACCTTTGATGATTAACTAATATGTAAAATGTGTGATGTAGTTCATCAGCATTTATATGTTCATATTTATGAATTTATCCTTACTACTAATTCACTACTTATAGAGTTATTGACTACTCCACTAATGCCTATGGGATTTGCTTAAGACACAGCACTCAGAGTAATGGGTAATTCTTCTTGACAACTCTCTTCCTCGTCTCTATAAAGGAACGTAGCCCTGAAGATCTTTTTCCTCTGCTGTTCCTGTTATAAACTGACAGTAAAATGCCCAGCATGTAGAAGACACAGGAACTCATATCCTCTTTGATACTTCATTGTTTTCATCCATCTTTGGTAAGTGTAATTAAGGGAAGTAATATTAAGATGCTAAGACGGCCTTAGATGGGTCAGTGATGAGAAAACATGGCTGAGGAGATGATGGCCAAACATCAAACTCTTGCAGGACTCATCTGAGGCCCAGTTAGGTGATGATCCTTGGCAGTATGTTGGGGGACTTTGTTTTCCTCGTTGGCTAAAGGTATTTGTGGTTGGAGGCAAAAAATTGAGCACATCTTGTGGCTCTCATCCAATATGGGCGATGTCATGACAAGATATGCTTAAGCTTTAGGCTTGTTTATTTATTTATTCATTTATATTTGACATCATTGTTCATTTTTGTGCAATGTACTTCCTCCTCTGAGGTGTAGACCCTGTAGAATTCCAAGCACCAGTTCACCCGGGCACCATCACCACAGTCCCTTGTATTCTCCGCTTTCCTGTTTCTATCTTTCTCCCTCTGATTTATAGTTGCCTGTTAATTTTGCTTATTTATTATTATTATTATTATTTTCCTTATCTCTTATTTGACTCCCCTATATTCCTCCATAAGTAAAACTATCCTACTTTTTTCTTTTTCCTTCTGGCTTATTTCACCGAGCATGATCCCTTCCAGCTTCCCCCAGGTTACTGCTTGTTTTTTTCTTATTTGTATGTCCTCAATCAGTCCATAGTCAGAGTGATTCTTTAGCTTTTTTATGATCCTGTGAGGCTGTCTTTCAGTGAGGTGGTCTTTCAAAGGTTTTCCTGTGGCCCCAATTATCACTTTTCCTGGTGAGTGTATATATACGTTGTCATAGATAGAGATACCACACATTAGTGGGCTAGTGGGAATCGAGTCTTAATATATTCCAATGCTTTGTATCTGAAATACACTTATAAGTTTAATTTCACCTTGAGTGTGAGCTCTGCAAACTAGAGCTATGGGCAGTGAAAGTGCATCATTAATGCTGAAATAGAGCAGACTGTAAAAATAGATCAAATTTCTCCACTGTGAAGTCACTTTGGCATTGAGGTCTATGTGTCCAAAAGCTGAAGCCAAAACTTCATGATGATTTAGGGAACATAAATGCTGATATGTGCACAGAAATCTGAGAATCAGTTTTCATAGATGATATGCCCAGCCATGGCATACAGGAGTGGATGATGTGTATGAGACACAGGATGTTCTCTTTCATGGGTGTCTTGGCAAATCCTATTGAGTTTTTATTCTGATGCCCAGAAGCTACTCCGGAGGATTCACTGTTTTTCTGTATGTCGATTCCAAGACTGCAGGGCTCCAGGTGGTAGTAGTTATTCCTTAGCCATCTCTTTTGTGTAGTAGGCCCAATCGGTTCATTTAAATCCCAATTAAAGTTCTTTTCTTTAAGGAAAGATAATTAAACAAAACCATCCCAGCTATAAATAAAGCCTTCTGTGATCTTTCATAGAATGATGTTGAGAACAATGGATCAATGTTACCTCCACAGTATGAATTAGGTTACCAATTAGTACCAATTGTGACTTAGTTTTGTTGTTTTTTAGTGCATATATTTTATAAGATGCCTGAATCAGCTCAGTTAGTTTGCTCTATTGTCCTCATTGATTTTTAAAAAATGTATACATATTACCTTCAATACTGATAGATTATTATATTAAAATAAGTGTTTGTACATTTACTTTTTCATTCATTCATCGCATTGCACTTTAACATATATAACTTAGTTCTTAATGGAAATGTAAAGAAATTGCATATTAAAGACACAATTCCATAAATTCCATAATAGGTGAGTAGTGTGT